TTTTTTTTTTTTTTTTTTATTGACGTTTAGTTTTAATAAATTCGAAATAAACTTTATATTTTTTTTTCTTCATTTTTTTCTTTATATATATATATATATATATATATATATATATATATATAACTACTTTGTGATATATTTTGATTATCTCGTGAGTATTTTATAAGATCTTTTTGAGAAAGTTGTCGAGATGGAACGTATATATGTACATGTACATATACGTATATATGTACGAGCTCCTGTTTACAACGTCGATGACACGAAAGAACGGACAAGATGAAAGGGGGTCAAAGAGTAAAGAGAAAGGAAGAGAGATAGACGGAGAGAAAAGAGAGCAGCATCTGCCGTATTGTCAAACTTTCAGAATCATCATCGTTCGCAAGTTGACTGTTGTTAGTCCTTATACAGGCCGTTACAAAATTGATCTGTATTATATATTTTCAAGATAAAAAATTTCAAAACTCAAATAGAAATCCTAACGTTACGAGGATCATGATTATACTTTATTTCCTTTTTTTTTTTTTTTTATTTCAATTTTTATTTTTTTTTCACATCGATCGCTTCGAAAACAAAAAGAACAAAAATATATATACACATATATACACGCATATAGTATATTTTTTTTTAATTTCGAACAATCCAGTATGTTGAAAGATTGAAAACATATTTGTTTTGAAACATCCTCTATATATATATATATATATATATATATATATATGCATCGTAGGCATTGGACTTGTTCGGTTTGAGGGCATATGGTAAACGAGGCCGGTTTTTTATTATGGATATTGAAAGAGAAATGGACGTGGAGCGCGGAGAAACAGAAACGAAATATAAAGGAAGTGTAGTATATCGGGAGAAAAAGAAGAGAGAGAGAGAGAGAGAGAGAGAGAGAGAGAGAGAGAGAGAGAGAGAGAATGGGGAGGTGAAGAGGATGGCAGAAAAAGGAAAAGCAACGAAAAACAAGAATAAAAAGAAAAAAAAAGAAAGAAAGAGAGAAAAACAATATAAATCAAATCGCAATAACAACGAGTTAGTAGAGTAAACGTCTTCGTCACGCACATTGATTCGAATGAATATCACGTATTTTCTCTCTCTCTCTCTCTCTCTCTCTCTCTCTCTCTTTCTTTTTTTGTTCTTTTATGTTCTTTTTCTCTTTCAAAATTTTTTTTTTTTCGTCGACTGGTTTTATTTTTACCATTTTATATATATATATATATATATATATATATATATACATATATATATATTTTTTTTTTCGTCACTCGTTTCATAAATACTATGCACCGTTTCTTAGTCATATCGTCGTTGATTGTAGATTTTCTCTCTCTCTCTCTCTCTCTCTCTCTCTCTCTCTCTCTCTCTCTCTCTTTCTGTTTAAAAATTTTTACAAAGGAAAAAAAAATATATATATATATATATATATTATATATAGAAATTTCACACTGATATCAGCGATAAACTTTATAACGTACATTTAAGATCTTAATCCCTGGGCATTTAATTAAAGTAGTTAAGAGATCTTTCCCGTCTCCCTCCGAAGGAAGGAAGTTACAGTAGCGTCGTTAGCATAAACGATTGCCTCTTCCTGCTTTCTACCTTGCATGTGTAATACTAACCGAGTCATTAAAACTGACAGACAAAGGAAAGAAGAGGAATGCCTCATCCTACGAACGTCTATATTAATCTTTTACGATCTAATATAAGGCTACTGTAAAGTGAAAAGCTCAGACCGTCATCATTTTATTATTATTATTATTATCATCATTAATATTATTGTTACTATTATTATTATTATTATTATTATTATTATTATTATTATTATTATTATTATTAATATTATTATTAATATTATTAACATTGCTAATTGCAAAGATCGTCAAAATATCATGTACGCGTTACGTAGAGTAACGAGAAACTTTATATTTTTTGAACGTACTTCTCGTTCTATTCATTTATTTATTTTTTAATTATTACAAAGAATTGAAGATTTTTAATTATGTAAATTGATATTAGAAAATTTAGCTTTGGTGTTCAAAGATATTCTTTTTCCTTTTTTTTTTTCTTTTTTTTTTTTTTTTGTCCAAAATTAATTAATTTTTTGTAAATCTTTTTTCAACCTACTACAAAATATAAGATTTAATTACGTGAAACAAGCAAAGAACCGTTCATGAGTCAAAGCGATTAAACTCAACTTTTGAATTTTTGACAAAACTTTCGTTCCAAAAGTGCCTTACCATCGACACATTACTTTTTTTTTTTTTACATATCGTATAAATTCCCTTAATAATTAACTGCTTAATAACATCAAATGACAAAATATTTCATGATCGTTGAGTAATATAAATTTACTGTTCAACTTTGTCAATTTTATCTACTTTCTGTTTTATGAAACTAATTCGTTTGGCAAACGATTAATTAAAATATGACTTACAAGGATTATCGATTTAATTTGAATATTTTAACATATGCATTTATAACACACAGATACACACACACACACACACACACACACACGTATGAAAGGAGATACATAATAAATAAATTTATTGTTTGCAAGTCACGTATCTCGATTTAATTTGTGTGTTTATTATAATACGTTTATATATTCAGCAATAAACAAGGAATTGACGCGATTAAGATGACTAATCTGAAATACGCAATGGGTAATTTAAACTATGTGCATCCTGGTAGAAATCTAATACCTTATTGTTTGTTATCCGTATATCTATTTCTCTTTTTCTTTTGGTCGTAAGATAAGACTGATACAAAGCTATTGCGATTAAACGTCTTTTCCTGTGTAATGCCACGAGATCTCGTCAAACGTCGAAGTAGATCGAGTTACGTTTATATTTTTTCAGTTTGTTAGAAGAGAGTCACGGATATGTGAGTCATACGATCGAACCACGAAGCATATCCTATCTGAGAACGCGTGTAATCGGAGAACTTGTGAAATCCATTAGGGTCTCATACTAAATAGATTTTGATGATATGACAAGATATCATCACCATTCATTTCTTTTTTGTTCTTCCTCCTCCTTCTCCTCTAACCCCACCCCTCCAATCACTCCTATCTCTCACTGATCTGATATATTTTAAAAAACCGATAAGAGTTACAGAAGAGTATTCGATGGTTCGACAACGATTAAATTGATTTCAACGTGTATCGATAAGAAATTAATTTATTTATTTAATTTATTAAAATCTCTCACAATTGAGATTTAACAAAATGATTCCTTGAAAGATTTCGTTAATCATTATAATCCGCTATCTTATCGATTTATCATCGTAAAAAATTAAATAAACTTATTAACGATACAAGTAGTATTATATTCTTTATTATCTACATATAGTATCTAATGATATATTAGAATATAGTATGTATATTAACGTAGAGATAAAAAATAGAACTATTGAAATTCTGACATTAGTATTTAGGAGAGAAACAATAATGCATTACTAGACCACTTTTGCTTGGGATGATCATACCGATCGAAATATGTTTGCGAATGTCCTTATCGTCGTATCGGGTCTTAACAGAGAATCCATGGGTCAACGTGTTGTACCAATCGAATCGGAGTAAACTCTATCTCAACGGGTGGCAATAGACTTCATTGATGTCATTACGATCGGGGTTTAGCGGAAGCGAGTGGTGTGGAACAGGAGCAAATAGTTTGGGTTTACCAATTGTTCTCTCAGGCATGTCGTCGATCTCCCATTCATGGAATCGCTCTACCGATAGCGAAGGACAACCTGCTGGATTGCGTCCTCGATGACCTTTTCACCGATCGAACGAACGATTGTCGTGCTAATTCCATTGAATATCTCAAACCAATTCGAATGTTTCTATTTAATCGAAGACGACGTATCTATCTTTATTACTTGTAAAAGGAAAAAATATAGGAGTATGAAGAAGAAGGAGGAAAGAACAAAAGAGAACAAATAATGCAACGGATCAAAACAAAACTTTAATTAGATCAAAATTGTCTTTGGCGTTCATTAAGAAGAATCAATTTCATTAGGAAATTCCTTGCACGAATGTATATCAAGTGTTAAATAGGATAACGTCAGATTCTAAAAGGGTAAATTTGAAGCTACTTCTGAAACAATAGAATAGGGGTTGGTCGAGAGTCACCCAAAGGAAGAGAGAACATCATCTTGGTCGTTGAATAGAATAGTGTTTAACGGTAAATCGTCGACCGGTTAACGTCCACATAAATTAGTAAAGAGAGAGACAGAGAGAGAGAGAGAGAGAGAGAAAATAGGCTGACTGTTGGACAGCTGATCGATGGTCAGTAGTTAGCATGTATATAACCGCGAGAAAATGATAGGAGGAGGAGGGTGGAGGTTGGGTTTTCTCGGTCGAGGGGTTAGAAGGAAAGGAAGAGAGGATGCCGATGGAGATGGTGTAGATAGTAGTAGTGGTGGTAGTATTAGTAGGGGGGAGGGATTGGTCTTTCTCGCGCGGCCAGCCGTCTCCGATGCCGAACGAACGTTTGGACGATGGCCAAAATGCCGCCGGTAAAATTAATCGTTCCCTGACACGAATTCCTCTCTAAGTGGGAATACCAATTTGTAGACGAGGAAGAGAGAGAAAGAGAGAGAGAGCGAGAAATAAAGGGAAATAGGCAGATCGTGAAAGGGTTGTTTTCTAAACACGTAATTATATCGAATCCACGGTTAACAAGCTACTTTACTGTACGCGGGCATATACTCTTTGGACTCTCCCTCTACTCTCCTCCCCTCTCTCTCTCATACTGTTAAACAACGTACTCGTTGATTATTGGCCGTCACCCAAAAGCCCCATCCGCGACTTTATCTCGAAGGCAGCGTTGTTTATGATCACGATATAACTACAAAGGATGTCTTTCGAAGTTAATACGTGGTTCGCTGATAAAGCATCAAACGTTACGAGCATAATACTTGTTTATCCGATAATCTAGCTTTTGCAAACAAAGTTTCCAAGTTATGACGAAGTTCGTTTCTCCATCTTGTTACAGATTCGACTTACTACGAGACGTGGTTTAACTTGGCATGGAAGAAAGATCGTAGAGAAATCGCGTGACCGGTGACTAAAAAAAATGGAGCGACTGTTGTGAATCCAGGAAGGAAGGAAGGAAGGACGGACGGACGGACGGAAGGAAGGAAGGAAGAAAGAAAGAAAGGAATTAAAAGAAGCTGGGATCTCGAGCGATCTTGGCGAGGCTCCCAAATATCTCTGGTGTTATCGGATAACATCGCAAAAAGAAAAGAAATTCGTAATAAGATTCGTCGAGTTTGTGTCGGTGATGTGTCGTGATAGGTGGTGACCCCGTGTTTGTGGCCCCGTGAGGGCGTAATCGTCAGTGTTTTATGTGTCGATGGTGCAAAGGAGTCTATACGTTGGATCTAAAAAGGTTTGGGATTATCCAGGATATATGTAGCATATAAATTCGAATATATATATATCAACGGAATCACAAGAGGGAGAGTGAGAAGAGAAGGAGGTGTATAAAAAGGTGTTTTTGCGCAAAAAAAAGAAAGAGTTGCTATTGTGTAGAGAGAGCGAGAGAGAGAGGGAGAGAAAGAGAGGGAGAGAAAGAGAGCGAGAGAAAGAGAGAGAGAGAAAGAGAGAGAGAGAGAGAGAGAGAGAAAGAGAGAGAGAGAGAGAGAGAGAGAAAGAGAGAGAGAGTGAGAAGTGTGCGCGCGCGGGTCTTGTTTGGATATCAAGAACACCAAAGGAGTAGCCGCGGGGTAAGTGATGTGTTCGATGGACGAGGCGCGTCTCGCGGGCGGTGGTCGGGGTAAAACGAACGCGTGTCGCTCGCGCTGCCATTATTCGGGATCCGTGAGAAAAGGCGGGCAGTCGGTGATCAGGCTGGCGGGTGCCGGGGAAACGTTTCCAAGGGCATGGCGACCACGCCACTAGGCGGTCGCCTCCCTAACGTTAACCGCAAAGGACCATCCCCGTGTATCGGTGGTGGTGGTGCTAGTAGTAACGGCAACATCAACAACAACAACCACAGCAGCAACGTTAGTAGCAGCAACGGTGGCAACATCAACGGCAACAACGGTAGCCTTAGTAGCAGCAGCAACAGCGGTGGTGGTAGTAGTAGTAGTAGTAACGGTGGCGGCAACAACAACAACAGCGGATGCAATAGCAGCAGCAACAACAGCATAGGAAGTAATATCAATAACAACAACGGTGGTAGTCAGAGAAGGCAAGAACGTAACACGATCGGGAGAGATCATCATCGGCATCACCACCATCATCATCATCATCACCATCATCACCATCATCATCATCATCAAGGTCGAGACAAGTCAGGAGCAGCGGTAGCCGCGCCGACATCGTCCTCCACCTCCTCTATTACCTCTATCTCTTCTTCGTCCGGTTCATCCTCCTCTTCTATCTCTTCCTCCTCCTCCTCCTCCTCCTCCTCCACCTCGTCGTCGTCGTCGTCGTTGTCGTCTAGCAGTGCGTGCCAGCAGCGCGAGGCTAAAACAAGCACGGTGGCTGCTAACGCCGGTGAGCTGGATCCGGCCGCGACTAATGCGACCAACAACTTCGAGTACGACGACAACGAATGGGACATTGGCATAGGAGATCTTATAATCGATCTTGATGCGGACATTGAGAAGACGAGGGACGAGAAACTGAGCTCCTCGGGGACAGGCATGGCTTCTACGCCTGCCTCGGCAGCATCGGCCACGAATAATCCGAATCATCATCATCTTCAAAACTCAGTGTCAGCTTTGAACTCGTCTAACTCGTCCAACTCGGTATCCGGAGTCGTATCGTCTGGCGTAGTATCGAACGCGGTTAATCAGTCATCGTCCTCGTTATCGTCCAATTCGAATTCGTCGAACTCGTCTAACGTCTCGTCGTCCTCGTCGTCCTCCTCAGGCTCGTCCTCGTCGTCGTCCTCCTCCTCTTCGAACTCTTCCTCGTCCGGTGGTGCCGGTGGTGGTTGCGTCGTCGGTAATTCGGGAAACGGCCGAGCCCAAAGCCCCTGTAGCTTAGGCGCAGGTGGCAACGCTCCTACGGCGAACGGGCCGATCGTCATCGGCGGTAACAACGGTACTGGTAACAATCAGACGAGCAACGGTTCGACCTCTTCGCAGGTGCAGCAGCTAGTTACGGGAGGAAAGCAAGGGTCCGCGACTGTAGTGGGCGCGGTAAACGCCGTGGTACACGGTAACGCCGGAAATCCCGGCAAGATGGCCGTTGAACATTCGGCGACCGTCGACAAGGGCCTCAAGATGAAGATCAAGCGTACGAAGCCCGGCACGAAGAGCAGCGAGGCCAAGCACGAGATCGTTAAGTCAAACGAGATCAATGGTACGGCCTCCTCCCAGGATAGCAACAACGGATCTTCCCAATCGTCGAGCTCAACGTCGGGTTCGGCGACATCGGGCTCATCGTCGACCTCCGTCGGGCAAAACTCTCAAAATTCGGAGTGTGTAAGCGGTGCGGGTGGTGGTAGTGGTGGTGGTGGTGCCGGTGGTGGAAGTGGTGCTGGTAGTGGTGGTAGTGGTGGTAGTGGTGCCGGTGGTGCCGGCGGCGGTGGTAGCGGTACCACGGCCGGTCAAACCGGTGCCACCGGACAATCGTCTTCCTCGAACAAATCTAAACCCAGCCATTCGCCGGCCTCGGCGACCGGGACGGGAAACGCGCAGTCCTCGACGGCGGGCTCGAAGCGTGGCTCGAGCGGACATCGCCGTGAAAAGGCTCGTGACAAGCACGAGAAACCACAGAACAATCACGCGCCGCAACAATCGAAACCGGAGATGAACGGAACGGCGAGGCCGCCGGCACCTCAGAGTCAAAACTCGGCGGGACAGGCAACCCAGTCGCAGGGACCGACGCCGGCAGCGACGGCGCCTCAACAGACTCAGGGACCACCGCCTAGCTCAAGGACGGGCTTTTCTGTCTCGCAAGGAGCCGGACCACCGGCAACTAGCGCCGCGGCGCCATGTCCTCCGCCGAGCCCGGCCAGCGCAACGGCAGCTGGGGCCCCGGCCAAGCCGGAACAGACCAAGGTGGCCTCCGTACCGGGACCACCCCTTACTACGCCGGCCGAGGAGGCCATGGACACTGCGGCTAGTCCTCCTCCGGCCAAAAAGATGAAGACGTCCAATACGGAACCAAAGGTAAAACAGCCTTTCCGGTAACTTCGACAGCCTCTACCGACACCTATACCATCTATACCTCTTTTTCATTCAAAACTCGTGCGTTTCCAACGTCGAACGTCGCCAACACTGAACATACAGTTATTTCTCCTTTAGCCATATATAAGACATTTTATCGTTTTCACGTGGGTTCTCGACCGACTACTATATGCGAGAGTCCACGCAATCGGCTTGGATTTCTCAAATACAACGACGATGTTAATTAGTCCACGGGAAACACGGATAATGTAATGAATCAGCCGCACAGTCGGCTTTTCATTTACCTCTCGCGTGTTACCGCTGCTGCTACTACTGCCGTTGCTGTTACTACTACTACTACTGCTACTACTACTACTACTACTGCTACTACTACTACTACTACTACTACTTCTACTACTACCTACCTACTACTATTATTGTTACTACTGCTGCTGCTACTGTTACTACTCCTACAATCAACCGCTGCCTACCGTTCAACGAAAGTCGTTTTAAAATCGCCGTTTTGTTCCTCGAAATCATTTTATGATAGACACTCTAATGGAATGAAACGAGAGTTCCACGCGTTGATTTGAAAACTTTGACAACATCCCTTTCGTCGAATTTTTTTTCTTCTTCTTCTTCTTCTTCTTTTTTTTATTTATTTTAATTCGATGTGCATCGAGAGGGATCGAGATCAAATTCTCTCTCTCTCTCTCTCTTTATCTCTCTCTCTCTCTCATTTCTCCCCTCTCGTTCTTCCCCTTTCTATGTCTCTCTTTCTCTCTTTCTCTTTTCAGAAAGCTCTCGTAAATCCTGCTACATATCGTTTCTTGATCCGTCCGTCAAAAGCCGTGCATTATTTCCCCTCGAAAAGGTCTCTAACGTTATCCGATTTTACGCTCGGCCGCACGCGCCGAGCCAGTTGAGCTTCGACACTAGGCCAACACAAATTTTTCACTTGGAACGCTCTTTATCCCGAGTAGGATGAGAGAGAGAGAAAGAGAGGTGAGGATGGGGTGGGTGGGGGGCGCTAGTTATCCTTTTCAACCAATGGAAATACTAAACCTTGGAGATTCAGAAATCACAGTAAGAAATATTTCTAAGAAATAAAAAAGAAAATCAACGAGGAGAATATATTTATTTTCTTTTTTCTTCTCGTTCTTCTTTTTCTTTTTTCTTTCTTTTTATTTCTTTTTTCCTTTTTTTTCTGACAAAGATCAACGAAGGCTTCAGTCACCTTGGCACACATCGACTCGTTCTCTCTCTCTCTCTCTCTCCTTACCTTCCGATCTCGCATTTCTCGCGTATATCCGTTAGAGTAGTAGCATGTAAAAAACATTCATACCACATATATGTGTGTGAGAGCATGTGTACGCGCGTGTGGGAACGAACCGATGTAAGGTCGTCGTACGTGTCGCGTTGTTGTGTGACCGCGTTACACGTCCGTCGTTCGTGATAAAATGATTGGATTTTGTTGTCATCTTTTATCATACCTTTAGTCTTATCTGTGTATATTCGAATATACATATATGTACGTATACTCGAGTGGTTTGGATATATATATATATATATATATATGTATATGTGTGTGTGTGTGTGTGTCGAGTGAAAATATATCGTCGATTGGCCGTTATCGAATTTTGATAGCTAGTCGTTCCAAGTACAATGGCCCTTTGTTCGAAGACTGTCTCGTGACAGATCGTTTCTGATGTGGGTAGAATCCTAAGTACGATAGAGTTTCTTTCGATTTTTGAAACGCGATATCTTTCACGTCGAATGTTACTTCGTAAAATCTACGACCAGGAGATCGTACGTCTAAATCTCAAAACGTATGACGTCTTTGTATTTGTATTTGTATGTGTTCATTCTTCGGTCTGTTTGTACTCGATATCTCGAAAATAATATTGGAGATATTTTAGTCGGAATTTAATTCAACATTTATTTTTTAATAATTTACATTTGAGCATTCTATATATATGTGTGTGTGTGTGTGTGTGTGTGTGTGTGTGTGTGTGTGTGTGTGTGTGTGTGTGTGTGTGTTCGTATAAATGGTCGTCCCGTTTAATATCCCTCATATTTGAATATGTTTCAGCAGCATACGTTATATCGATGATCGATTTTTTTTTACCTTCCCCTTCGCCCCCTTCGTGTCCAATTTAAATGATTCGCCCGAATTCGTTAGAAATTTTGTTTAATATCAATAAATGATATATAAATCGAAAGTTCTCTATAATTTGACGAAGTTAAATACTTTGGATTGGGGCGTGTGGCGGTGCGTGGAGTGGTGGAACCGGGGCGGGGGGGGGATACGTTTGTACAAACTTTCTTTTTTGTTTATTTATCTTTTTATACTTTTATTATTCAGATATATCGAAGTAAATATCTAAAATATTTCTATACTTACTCTGGGAATACCCTTTTGTATGTACTAATCCCATCGAATCATTGGTCAATTATATTTTTTCGAGATAACATTTAACATATTCAACGATCTTAATTATTTTTGAAAGAGAAATTTAACGTAGAAGTTTCTACGACACGTGAAAATAATTGCGATTCTTCTTTAAATCATAAAACCACGATGGAAGTTAACTCGTTTTTCTCCTCGTCTAATAAAAAAATAAAACGTGAAAGATGAAAGTTACGTTCTTTCTCGTTCGCATTTCTGCATACTCGACTTCAAGGGAAGGGAGCAAAAAAAAAAAAAGAAATAAAGAAAGAAATAAAGAATGAAATAAAGAATGAAATAAAGAAAGAAAGAAAGAAAGAAATAAAGAAAGAAAAAGAAAGAAGGAATTTGATCTCTGTCGAAGCTCTTTTCTTCTCATTCAATCATATCGATCGATTCGATCATTCGATCATATATAGATGATAATCCCGAAGATAAAAAAAGAAAAAAAAAAAAAAGAAAAGGAAAAAGAAAAAAAGAAAAAACAGGAACCTCTAGAGGAGAGAGACTAAGAAGTTAGAAAAATAAACGAAAATGATTGAAGAGCGTGGATCAATGTCAATCGGACGATCCGATCAACACGTCGTAGAAAGGGACGTCGTGATCTAGATCGTATACGGTAAACGGTGGAATGGGTAGAGTTGGGTGGTGAGTAGTTGGTTGAGGTGGGGAAGGAGGGGGGGGACAGTGAAAGAGGGAGAAGGCGGGGGGAATGTTGTACGTAAGAAAAGGAACTGGGGTGGGAAGGAGAGGTAGGGGGGGGATATTATAGACTCTGTGCGTGCTCGCACTTCTCAGTCAATTACGAGACGAGTCTCTACGCTCATTAGCATTAGTCCGTGCACCGCACGTGCGTTTCCACGCGAGGAACAACATGTATAGTTCTGGATTCCAGCTGTCGAGAGTTCCTTTTAAAGAGAAAGAGAAAGAAAGAGGGAGGATGTATGTATGTGTATGTATACGTATGTGTGAGGGAAGGAGGGAGAGAGAGAGAGAGAGAGAGAGAGAGAGAGAGAGAGAGAGAGAGAGAGAGAGAGAGAGAGACAAAACAAGACTCTAAAGCAGTATTCTCCAAGTCAAAGCAAACCTAATTGGATCGACGACCGTCTACGAATAATACGAGTCGTACGAAACAACACTCTAATCGCGTTTCAACTAAAAACCTTTCTTTTTCTTTTCTTTTTTTCTTTTCTTTTTTCTTTTTTTTTTTTTTTTTTGTATTTTATTTTTCCTTTTTCTTTTTTAAGCTTACGTAGATACGTATGTAATATAATATTTTATATTTTCACGATTTTTCTCTTTTTTCTTTTCTTTCATTTTTTGTTCTTTTCAAAACTATCGATTTGTTGTTATCATCTGATACGATTTATATATATATATTACGTGCGCGCGTGTATGTGTGTGTGTGTGTGTGTGTGCAGTATGTTCGTTAAAAATGGAATCCTGTATTAATCAAGCGAGCCGTGATAAAATATTTTAAATTCCGTGTTTCATGTTCATTGCAGAAACATGTTAATGATTGTATAGATAACAAAATGTTAGATTTTGGATCGATAAGCATCGATATCCTGAAAATCTCTTTATGCGTTGATGAAATGAGAAAAAAAAATGGAATCTGTTTCTTTATCTCTATCAATATCTCTCTCTCTCTCTATCTATCTATCTATCTATCTATCTATCTATCTCTTTCTTTTTATACTTTTTTTTTCATTGATTTCGTGCCCATAACAGCTGATTCGAGATTTCCGATCATCAAATTCACGTCGAATGAGTGCAACATACATACATACATACATATATACATATATGTATATGTATATATACATGTATATATACACGTATATATTATGTCCTCTATGTACATATATTTAGATAGAAAAAGAGGAAGATCAACTTGCAGGAAAGGCCAGGGATTTGCTTCGGTCGCACGACGCGTCGTTTGGCAAATATTTTTGATCGCACCCCAGACTGCGAATTGACGTTTATCGACGTTCGCTAAGGGGGTGGAACGAGGGTGAAACCAGACTCGGTACATGGAGGGTGGATCTCTCGTGGCACCCGACGTGCAACCTACCAAAGCTGAATCTCTCTCTCTTTTTCTCTCGCGTTCTCTCTTTCTCTCTCCCTCTCTCTCTCTCTCTCTCTTTCTCTTTTTTTGCTTCAGGGGAAATAATCTACCCCCTTTTGTACATAGTTTCATCATACGTATATACGTGAAGTCTATATAATGGATACACGTACGTTCCACCTACACTGTTTCGACGTTCGTCGATACCATCGCGTTTATTTACATTTTGCAACGCTTCCATTATTTCATCCTCTCTTTCTCTCTCGCTCGTTTCTCTCGTTTCTCTTTCTTTCATTCGTTATTTTTTGTTGAATTATTTCAACACCTATTCTCCGCTCTCTCGCTTTCGCTCCCTTTTTTTTCTTTTTTTATTTTCTTTTTTTTTATTTTTTTCTTTTTTTTATTTTTTTTTTTATTTTATTTTTATTATTATTATTATTGTCGTTGTTTCCTTTTCCCTTTTTTCCTTTTTTTTATTTTCTTTTT